AAAGGAATTGTGTTCCATCAGGACAACGCCAGATCACACACACCGATAGTGACTCGCCAGAAGCTCCGGGAGCTTGGTTGGGAGGTTCTTATGCATCCACCTTATAGTCCGGACCGGGCACCAAATGATTACCACCTGTTCCTGTCTATGGCGAATGATTTTGCTGGTGAAAAATTCGCCAAGAGTAGCTTGTGAAAATCGACTATCCCAGTTTTTTGCCAATAGAGACAAGGGTTTCTATGAGAGAGGCATAATGGAATTACCTTCAAAATAGCAACAAGTTATCGAACAAAACGGTGCATGTTTGACCTAAATCGGATCATTCTGACAATGCTAAATAAAGCCTCCAATTTCATGCAAAAATAATGGATTTCTTTTTACTACACCTTATATATATCTCCTCTTTTTGTTTTCACCTTTTTATTCTCCTGTATTGATTTTTCTTACTGTTTTTCTTCTAATAGTTTAAAATTTACTGCATTTAACTCTCTTTCTCTGTTTCTCCCCTTCTTTGTTCTTTCCCCCTTTTTTCTCCTTCTCCCTCTCCCTCCCCCTCTCTCTCACAAAATCTTCCTCTTTTTTTTTTACAAAATTGTCTTTTCCTTTCTGTCTAATAATGAAATGTAACAACGTACTTTTCTTATGAATAACGAGTAATAATAATAAAATACTTTTTAAAATTTACCTTTCCTATTTTATTACCTTGCATCTCTTTATTTTCTATTTTCTTGTTTGCTTTTTATTTTTTATTACTTATCTGTCCGTGTACTATCTTCCCTCCTTATATTTTTTCTTTTTTTCTTGCTTGCTGTACTTTCTTTCTTTCTTCCTTTCTTCTTGCCTTGTTTAAAAATAATAAAAGTACAAGCAACATAAATAATAATTTAGTTCTATATCCTTATAAATTATCCTATTAGGTGTACAACTTTGCTTTCGCCGTTTTCCTATAGATGGCTTTAGCAGTAAGTGGTGGTCGAAATAAATAGATCATAGACGTCATACAATAAACTTGGGCATCTGTCAACATAAGCCCATAGAAACATTAGTCGATTTGTATCTGCATCATAAAGTTATTCTCGATTGAAAATGTCAGTTTACAAGCCAAATTCTCGTCATTTGTGGAAGGTTTTAATTTTCTGCTTCAATATGAAGAAATCTGCGGCTGAGGCTCATCAAATGCTCTCAAATACTTATGGTGAGGCCGTTATTAGTGAAAGAACGTGTCGTGAGTGGTTTCAACGCTTCAAGAACGGTGATTTTGACGTCGAAGACCGGCATAGCGGTGGAAGACAGAAGGTTTTCGAAGATGCAGAATTGGAGGCATTACTTGATCAAGACTCGTGTCAAAATCAAGAAGAATTGGTACGATCATTGGGAGTGACTCAATAAGCCATTTCAAAACGCCTCAAAGCCATGGGAATGATTCAGAAACAAGGAAATTGGGTGCCGTACGAATTGAAGCCGAGAGATGTTGAACGGCGTTTGTTTGCTTGTGAACAACTGCTTGAAAGGCAAAGACAGAAGGGATTTCTACATCGCATTGTGATTAGGGACGAAAAATGGGTTCATTACGATAACCCCAAGTGCAGAAAAGCATGGGGAGTTCCCGGCCATGCTTCCACATTGACGGCCAAACCGAATATTCACGGCTCCAAGGTCATGCTCTGTATTTGATGGGACCAGCTCGGCGTAGTATTATGAGCTGTTAAAACCGACTGAAACAATCACAGGCGATCGGTATCGAACGCAATTGATGCGTTTGAGCCGAGCATTGAAAGACAAACGGCCGCAATACAACGAGAGACACGATAAAGTGATTTTGCAACATGACAATGCTCGACCCCTTGTTGCGAAAGTGGTCAAGACATACTTGGAAACGTTGAAATGGGAAGTCCTATCCCACCCGCCGTATTCTCCAGACGATGTTCTCTCTGACTATCACTTGTTTCGATCAATGACACACGGCCTGGCTGACCAGCACTTCCGATCTTATGAAGAATCCAAAAAATTGGATTGATTCGTGGGTCGCCTCAAAAGATAACCAGTTTTTTCGAAGCGGGATTCGTACGCTGCCCGAAAGATGGGAGAAAGTAGTGGCCAGCGATGGACAATACTTTGAATCATAAATGTATAACCAGTTTTTTACAATAAAGCCTCGAATTTCAGAAAAAAAACGGCGGAAGCAGAGTTGTACACCTAATATATTATATAAAGCAATACTTATTTATTATTGCGGCAGACAAAAAAATTTATTTAATTATTTATTTATTATCTATCTTTTTATTTATTCATTCTATTACTCACTAATATATTGCTCTTGTCTTTCTATTTCGCTCTCTTATGATTTTTTTTATCGTCTTATCATTTATCTTCATTTTTTCTCTTTCCTTTTTATTTCTTCTTGCCCATTCTTTCCTTTCTCTCTTTCTTTTCTTCTCCTTTTCTTTTCCCCCCTCTTTTATCTCCTTATTATTTA